GAGATCGCACCTGGTTTTGCATCTTATCTCAAGCTGATTATGCAAATATACAGAGAATTAACCAAAAACTGGATCCCAGAAATTCTGAGCTGGTTTGCCCTCTATTTATTTCTGCACCTATAATCAATGCACACGCCAAAAGGAAGGGAGTACACCAACCAAGGCATATTCGCGATGGACTTTCAGGGCTTTCAGGTTTGTAAGAGAGGTGATAGCCGAGGAAAATAAGCCAATGAGCAACATTAGGAGGATCACGAAGAGCAGAAGCAACAGCAAGAGTGCATTGCAGCGAGTGCAGTGGGCACAGGTGATGCAAGGGTGGCATGGTGGCACTCACAGCGTAACCAGACGTGTCAAGCTGCTAAGGGATGGAGGGATGGGCCCAGAGATCTGGTTGCGGGACAGTTCCCTAGAGACAAGGGGGAAATGAGGGATGGATAGATGAAAGGAATCATGGAAGACTGGTGGGTTGAACCACTGACAAGCGGTATCGGCTGATGATGGATAATCCGATTGATGAGTTTATTCAGCGGTGGGATGGTGACCGGAGATTAATAATTGTAGTGATTAGCTTAACAATATATCAATGCAATAATGGGATGAACAAAAACGTGACCGGCTGAGGGGCCGCATCTGCAGGAGAAAGAGTGGGAACCAGAAGCTTACCCGAAGATGAGCATTAAGATTCGTAAATCCACATCTGATAGAACAAGGTGAATTTCAACACAACTTTGTTTTATCCCCATTTTCCTAGAGAAACAAATGTTGGATTTGATCTCAAATGCTGCGTTACTTTTACAGAAGTTGGATTCTAAAACAGTTTATCAGGTTTGCTCATACGCTTTTTGTGCACCTATAATCAAGGCACAAACTAAATCTAAGTCAGCACACCGACCATGGAATACGCTAGTGTCAAACTTATATGCTATAGTCTATCTAGGCTGTAGAGGGGTAGTTCATATAGGGTACAACACTTTTAGGTTTCCTACTTGTACCCACCTGCTTGCTAGTTCAGTCATTCTTCCTTTCCTATTCTGACATGGTATTCTGAGAAGGTTCCCTAGTGGGAACGTTTTTTTTTTTTAGGGCCCACCACGATTTTTTCCTGCCCTGCCCGAAGCGCGCCTTGCGCCTTCCTCACCTGCGCCGTCGCGCGCCTCTGCCTTCGCTGGCCCGTCGCGGCCCTGCCTTCGCCGCCCGTCGCTGGCCCGTCCCGGCCCGTCGCCGGCTCGTCCCGGCCCGTCGCCGCCCGTCGCTGGCCCGTAGCCGCTTGTCGCGGCCCTGCCTTCGCCGCCCACTGCGGCCCTGCCCTGCAGCCGCCCTGTCGCGGCCCTGCCTTTCGCCGCCCGTTGCTGGCCCGTCCCGGCCTGTCCCGGCCCGTCGCCGGCCCGTCCCGGCCCGTTGCCGCCCGTCGCCGGCCCGTAGCCGCCCGTCGCTGGCCCGTCGCCGCTCGTCGCGGCCCTGTCTTCGCCACCCGTTGCGGCCCTGCCCTGCAGCCACCCCGTCGCGGCCCTGCCCTGCTGCCACCCCAATCGCGGCCCTGCCTTCGCCGCCCGTTGCGGCCCTGCCCTGCTGCCGCCCCAGTCACGGCCCTGACCTAAACCGCCAGCTGCGGCCCTGCCCTGCACCCGCCCCTGGAAAGCACCCGCGCCGCCCTGCCGCACCGCGCCGCCAGAAGCCGAGCCGCGCCGCCCAGCCGAGCCGCGCCGCCCTACCGAGCCGCGCCGCCCTGGCGAGCCGCGCCGCCCTACTGAGCCGCACTGCCCTGCCTGCACTGCTCCTGCTGCTACTACTGCTTCTGCTGCCACTACTGCTACTGCAGCTATGGCTAGCCCTACTGTTCTTACCTTTGATGCTGAGGGGCGTGCGGTTGACTTTGACGTGTGGGTTGACGACCTGCAGCTCTTTCTTCAGTGTGACTCTATGGACGGGGTATCCCTTTTCGATCACACGTCCGGTGTCTCTACTGCACCTGCTGCCACTGCTGACAGTATGGTTCGCTTGCAGTGGACCACTCGTGACGCTGTTGCTCGCCTTGCTGTTCGTAGTCACCTGCCGCCTGCTGAGCGCGCGCACTTTGGCCATACAAGACTGCTCAGTCTTTGTATGACGCTGTCGTAGCGCGCTACTCCTCCCCTGCCACTGCTGCCCTTAGCCGCCTCATGCTGCCGTACCTGTTCCCTGACCTTGCCGCCTTTGCCACAGTCGCTGACCTCATTACTCACCTCCGCACTAGTGACGCCCGCTACCGCGCTGCACTTCCCACTGAGTTCTGTGCCAAGAACCCCCCCCCCATGTACATCACCCTTTACTACCTAGTCACCCGCCTCCCTGACTCCCTTGCTTCAGTCAGGGACCACTTTCTCTCCCTTTGCCCCATCGAGCTCACCGTCGACCTGCTAGAGGAGCGCCTCACTGCAGCTGAGAAGAGTATCTTAGCTGTGGCTGCTTCTCGCGGCGACCCTCGCGCCCCTTTCTTTGAGGGGTGCTCCCCTGTCCCCCTTCTCCCCTCTGTTGCTTCTGCTGCTGCTGACGACCTCGTTGGCACTGAGGAGGTCGGGGCTGCGTCTGCTCCTAGTTGGAGGCGCCGCAACAGCAAGGGCAAGGGGGGCAAGGGTGGTGGAGGGGACGGTGGGGGCGGTGGTGGAGGTGGTGGAGGAGGCGGAGGGGGTGGCGGTGGAGGTGGGGGTGGTGGCGGGAGTGGGGGCTTCGGTGGCGGCGGTGGGGGTGGTGGAGGCAGCGGCAGCGGCCGTGGAGGCAGCGGCAGCGGTGGTGGAGGTGGCGGCGGCGGTGGTGCTGGTCGAGGTGGAGCCGCGCAGCGTGAAGGCTTTGGTGGTAGCCAGTGCCAGCAGCAGCAGCGTTCCCGTGAGACCCCGTCGGCCCAGCAGCTTCGTGAGTGGTACGCTGGGCGTGGGAGGTCTGGGGGTGTTGGTCCCTGCACTTACGTTCTTCGCACCGGTGGGCGCCGTGGGGAGACGTGCGGGCTGCCACACACTGTGCAGCGCTGCTTCGGTCGCTTGACTGACGCCTGGCGCGCCCAGTTTCCTGACGCTGTTGAGCTCCCTCGCAGGGGTGATCTGCTTAGGCAGAATGTTGCTATCTTTGATCTTGATTTCGATGCTATCCTTGCTGCCATGTATGCTGTGACTGATAGTGCTGAGGGTGACTGCTACCTGTGTGTTCCCCCCGACCCGGGCATTGAGGCTGCTGCTCTAGGTGCTAGTGAGTCTGCTGCTCTAGGTGCTGGTGAGTCTGCTCTCTCTGGTACTGCACCTACCGAGGCCTTGCACACTTTCACACTTGACTCTGGTGCTTCGCGCTCCTTCTTTCGCGACAGCACCACACTCACGCCGCTCAGTCGGCCTGTCGCAGTCTCCCTGGCTGACGCCTTTGGGGGCCCAGTCCTTGCGCACTCCTCCACGGTTCTACCGTGTCCTGCGGCCCGGTCGGGCTTGCTGTCGGGCCTCCACCTCCCCTCGTTCTCTACGAACTTGGTGAGTGGAGCTGACCTCCAGGACGCGTGGGTTGACCAGTTCACCCCTGGAGGTCAGCGTGTGACCCACTGCACTTGCTCTCGGACGGGCCGCCACCAGGCCACGTTCACCCGTCGGCCTGGGTCGAGTCTGTACACACTGACTACTGCGTCTCCGCCAGTTACTGCGTCTGGTCAGGTAGCCGCGTCTGGTCAGGTGTTTTCTGCCGCGTCCAGGTCTAGTCCAGCATCGGCCCCCTGCTCGTGTCATCCTCTGTCACACGAGACTCTCCTTTGGCACCACCGCCTTGGTCACCCCTCCCTGCCTCGTCTTTGAGGTATGGCCTCCCGTACCCTTGTCTCTGGTCTCCCCCGGTCCCTCCCTCCCCTTCCTCCAGGGCCTGCCCCTACCTGTGTTCCTTGTGTCGAGGGCCGGCAGCGCGCCGGAGGCTCCGAGTTCCCTCCGACAGAGGCTCCCCTACCTCACTCCTCCGAGTTCCCTCCGACAGAGGCTCCCCTGCAGACTCTTCACATGGACGTGTGGGGCCCAGCCCGCGTCCATGGACAGGGTCACGAGCGTTACTTCCTGCTGGTCGTTGACGACTACTCGCGTTACACCACAGTCTTCCCCTTGCGCCGCAAGGGTGAGGTCACTGAGGTGTTGATCGACTGGATCCGCGGTGCCCGTCGCCAGCTCAGCGAGAGATTCGGCTCGTACCTTCCTGTTCTGCGTCTGCACTCAGACAGAGGTGGTGAGTTTTCCTCCGACCTTTTGAGGGCCTTCTGTCGTGCGGAGGGCATCCGCCAGACGTTCACGCTTCCGGCCTCCCCACAGCAAAATGGGATTGCTGAGCGCCGCATTGGCATGGTCATGGATGTCACTCGTACGTCCATGATCCATGCCGCTGCTCCCCATTTTCTGTGGCCGTTCGCGGTTCAGTACGCTGCGCATCAGATCAACCTTCAGCCTCGTGTCTCCTTGCCGGAGACCACACCTATTCTGCGGTGGACGGGGAAGGTTGGCGATGCGTCTGTGTTCCGTGTCTGGGGATATCGAGCTTTTGTCCGCGATGCTTCCGCGGACAAGCTGTCCTCCCGTGCCGTTCCCTGCGTCTTCCTTGGCTTCCCCCCTGACGCACCTAGGTGGCAATTTTACCACCCCACCTCGCGTCGTGTTCTGTCCTCTCAGGACGTCACGTTTGATGAGTCGGTATCTTACTACCGTCTCTTTCCCTACCGCACTGCCCCTCTCCCCCCCCCGCCACTCTTCCTCGCACCAGGTGCTCCTCAAGTAGACCCCCTCCCCCCTCAGGGTCCTGCCCCCCTAGATGACTACAAAAGTTGTAGTTGACACGTGGAAAATAAGATTGAATAGTAACACACTATGTGGCATTGTTAAACATGCTGTACCATTGCAGTACACAGGTTCAATCATTCCACTATTAAATAAATCACAAGAGGTCGACCGTGGGGTTTGATGTCAACAAAGCAGTGGCAGATTTGTGCTTCGGTTTGACAATGACTGCCCTCATTGCTCATAACATACCAGATTGCCTTCCATGGTGATGCCCCCTTTGGGTAGAGCCAGCAGCTTCTCAAAGGCCTCTGTCGGGGAGCCACTAGCAGTGCACTTGGCTGCCTGGGTGGTGAGGCCCATGGATGCAAAGAGTGAGTCCACAGACATCCGCGGCACCTCTTGATTCGTTGCGATACCGTATGCTGCTTCTATGCTCGACACCACGGCGAATGCCCAGCACGCATCTGAAGGGTACAGAAGGAAGGTGGACAGGTGTCGAGAAAGGAGACCAAAGTAAAAAGCAGATCGGAAAGAGAACCTGAAGTTTCGCAAGGAGGTATCCGATTATTATTAGTTTTCCAAAAATAACACATCATGGTGCGCCTAAACTTGATGTGCTCCCTGATTTGAGTTGGCTAAGTACTCACAGCAGCCTTGGTGATCTTTGACAGGCCAGTTGAGGAAAGAAACGGAGTCACAGGAGTGGAAGTCCCTGAAGACCCACGAGTCCTTCTGCCTGGCCGACACTCGGTAGTCCGCACTCACATAGCGCGGGAAGGGGCTCGCCCGTGCAGGCACATATGTGTTCGCTGATATGCTGAGACCATAGGCTGTAGTGAAGGGAGAATAGGTGTGTGCATGTGTGTGTATGTGTGTGAGCATTTGGGAGAGTAGGGATAAGTGTATAGACAGAAGCATGTTCAGGAGAGGGAAGGGTCAGCAGGAAGTGATAGATGTAAAGAGTACGGGTTCAGTAGGTATGTACGCAAAGACGAGAAAGCAGCTTGGATCAGCAGGCCGGCTACATTTTGTAGATATCAGGTCAGAAACCATTTAGCGTGAAACAATTAGCCCCTAATGCTTCACGATGTTTATTTTTTTGCTGGCATGCAAGGACTTGCCTGATTTGATGTCCACCGTCCTCCATGCAGGAGGAGTAGCTGCAAGAAAGAAATGAGACCAGGGGAAACTGAGACAAGGAGAAAATGAGATATGGGGGACATGAGATAAGGAGGAAATGAGACAAGGAGGAAGTGACACAAGGTGGACATGAGACAAGGAGGAAGTGACACAAGGAGGACATGAGACAAGAAGGAAATGAGCCAAGGAGGAAATGAGACAAGGAGGAAATGAGACAAGGAGGAAATAAGACAAGGGGGAAATGAGACAAGAAGAAAATGATGCAAGGGGGAAACAAGACAAGGTAACTCTTTTGTACATGTGGAATCCTTGAATTATCAGAGTTATACCAATAAGAGGAAAAAACTCAGTGCATTATAGGTCTCCCCTCCAAAAACCTATTAATAAAAACTACAGTGTGAAGGCACCAAATGAATGATTTCCTATATGCAAGGCAGAGATGAGGCCTATGCACTGTTTCACCGTGTGGACGCATGGGGCCTCAGAGGTTTGATTGGTGGGATATATTACAACGGATCTCCTAGAACCACCAGGGAAACCACCAGCTTTCCACCTACCAGTATGCAGCTCAGAGCTGAGGATGGCTTGCATCGTGAACGGCTTCACTGTGGTGGACACCACGAAGCCAAAATAAATCGTGCGTGGCAGCGCTGGTAGTGGCTGCGGTGGTCCTGGCTTTAGCACCTCACACAGCGACAACCTCTTCTTCAGCAGCGGCTTCCCCGGCTTCTCTGCTGTGTTTGCCAGGAACACTTGGATGGTGCCGGGGTCTCCAGGTGTATAGTCCACCCATGCCGTGTATGCCTGCTTGTTGGTCAGCTTGAATGGGGATTTCACAGCAGCGATAGACTTGTCCTGGCCCTGAATGTTCAGCCCCATGTGCTCCTCTTTCATGTCCCCATGTGGCTTGTTTTGAAGCACGTCAAACTCAATAGCCATGCTTCGGTCATCCATCCCACCATACCCCACTCCAACACTGCTCCCTACTGTGTTGCTTGCCGAGACCACAAATGCAAAGCCGTTGGAAGCCGCCTTGCCTTTGGGCGATAGGGAAAACGTGAATATAACATTAAACGCCATTTCAAATCCGCAACCCGGGTGATCCTGTCCAAATTCGTACACGAAAAAAGGCACCGGCTCTTTACTGAACATTCCAACCGTCTCTGTTTTCAATCCCGTCGTGAGAATCGTTGATAATGGCAGAATCTCCATGTTGAGTAACGACACAAGGTCTGATTCTGGAATTTCGGGGGAGGGATGGAAAAGAGAATCGGAGGGGAGGTAAAAAAGAAGAAGAGTATAAGAATATTGTGAGAGATCAAATCCTGACAGCTGTAGAAGGATGATGTGCAGTAGAACTCGAAGTAAATCAAAGCTGCACATGCTTGCCTTCCAGCAGCATGTCAAAGCAGAGAAGCTGTTTGAGAGCAGAGATGCAAATGCACGTGCTTCACTAATCTGTGCCTTCTATCCACTAAACCAGGACCCCATTTACCCTCAACAAGACAGTGGGTGCCATGAAACAGGCGGGAATCTGCGTCGCACAAGCAGGTAGGCACCAAGCTAGGCTCGTCAGGATAGCACACCCCTTGCCCAGTGCAGGAAGCATCAAAAGGTATGATCTAGATACCACACGTTTTGGAGAAATATGAGGATAAGCTGGAACAACAGAAAAGGAGATCTGGTTGCAGCAAATGTGTGGCAGCAGTGACAACAGTGGTGGTGGTGGTGGTAGCAGAATCAGAAACCATAGTAGCTGCCGCAGTGGAAACAATGGCAGAAGCAGCCGCCTCCGCAAAAGAAACAGCCGCAGAAGCAGCAGCCACAGCAGCAAGAGCAGCACCATCAGCAGAAGCAGCAGCAACAGCAGGACACGAACAGCAGCAACAGCAAAGTCTGCATGGCAGCAAGTCCGGGGGCGGGGGGTGCAAGGGTTGCATGGTGGCACTCACATTGTGGCCAGACGTGTCAAGCTGCTAAGGGATGGAGGGATGGGCCCAGAGAGCTGGTTGCGGGACAGGTCCCTGGAGACAAGGGGGAAATGGGGGATGGATGGATGAATGGAATCATGGTCGAATGGTGGGTACCCATTGACAAGATGATCAGGTGATGGTGGATATTTTTATGAATAAGTTTACTTGGTGATGTGATGGAGATGGTGGACTGGAATTCGGGTTAACGAGCTGATCATTATTTTGATGGCATATTGGGGTGAAGAAATAAGTGACCGGCCGAAGGGGCGTGCCCGCAGCAGAAGGGAACCAGAACCTTAAACATAGATGAAAATCCTGATTCGTAATTCCACATCTCCTAAATGTCAGTGAATGTTATTAAAAACTTCCCATTAGTCCCTTTTTCATAGGAGGAGCACAAGACGTTACAAAGGTGAACTTTACAAAGGCTGTGCTAGCACAACATGTTTCCAGCAACAGTTACAATAACAGAAGTTGGAGCCCGTAAGTGTTGATCTGGTTTTCCCATATATTTCGTTCTGCATCTATAATCAAGACACGCGATAAATTTACATGACAGCACCGATCATGGTATATGCTAGGAGGACTTACAGGGCTTCCAGGTTTGTAAGAGAGTTAATATCCAAGGAGATCAAGCCATTGAGCTGGTTGTTGCTGAGAGACCTGTATTGGTGAACAGCCCCGAACGAAAAAATTGATAGGCCAATGCGGAAACTTGAAGCGTGCTTTAGAATCAACAGTAAAGGTTGGCTAGACATGTGTGATAGAGGGAGAGGAGAACAACCTGAGGTGGACGTATGCAGAGGGCTTACAAATAGGTGAGATTGGTCAAGGAACTGATTTCCACAGGTATGGATCCTGATAGCACGTTAAAGGTCAAGTTCGTATCAGCAAGAGAGGCACAAATGAGGGTGGATAAGTAAGAGGTACGTGAGAGGAGATATAGGTGTGCTTGGCAGTGTAACAATTATGGTGATACCCTTACACTTGTGCAGTGTAAGGTCTAGATACCACACGGTTTAGAGAGATACGAGGATTAGTTGGAACAGCAGAAAAATAGCTCTGGTTGCAACAGAATGTGTGGAGCAGTGACCACAATGGTGGTGTTGGCAGGAGAATCAGAAGCCGTAGAAGCAGCAGCCACAGCAAAAAAAGGAACAGTAGGAGAATCACCAAGAGCAGAAGCAGCAGCAAGAGTGAATGACATCAACAGCAGCAGGCACGGGGGATGCCAGCGTGGCATGGTGGCACTCACAGTGTGACCAGACGTGTCAAGCTGCTAAGGGATGGAGGGATGGGCCCAGAGAGCTGGTTGCGGGAAAGGTCCCTGGAGACAAGGGGGAAATGGAGGATGGATGGATGAACGGAATCACGGACAACTGGTGGGTTGACCCATTGACAAGCCGCTTGGGTGATGGTGGAAAAATGGTTGAGTTAAGGAGCTGATTAGTAGATTGATGGAGCGATGGTGTGAAAACAAAAAAGGCCAGTAAAGGGGGAATTTTCTGCAGAGAAAAAGGGCACCGGAACCTTACCTGAGAATATGCATCCATATTATTTTATCCACTTCCAAGGTTGAGGTAAATTCCATATTTAATTCCCCACAAGCTCTTTCTATTACATATCACACCTGCTTTGGCATCTTATCTCAAGTTGAATTATGCAAAGCTAATGCTAGTTAACAAAAAACTGGATCCCACACATTCTGATCTGCTTTGCTCTCTGCTTCTTGTGCATCTATAATCGATGCACACGCCATATGGAAGGGACTTACACAAAGGGGTATTCTTAAAGGACTTACAGGGGCTTCCATGCTTGTAAGAGAGTTGATAGGCGAGGAAAGTAAGCCTATGAGCTGGTTGCTGCTGAGAGACCTGTAGGGATGAATAGACATGAACACAAAATTTCATAAGCTGATGCGGAGACTTGAAGCGTGCTTGAGAAAAAACAGTACATATGCGTGTAGTGTGACGAATGGACAATATCCTTAGGATGTGCAATGAAAATAATCAACAGGGAATAGAGGGAGCCGGGGGTTAGATCAAGTATGAAAAAATGCAATATTCTCCCTTTCAAATGTAATTCTGCTACACACACATGCACAATAGAGGTGAATGAAAGAAGAGAGCGACAAAGGTGGAAACAAGCCTTGGAGAGAGTGCATGGTCAACATATAGGGGAGGAGGGGGATGAATCTCAGCACTATAGTCTTCCTAGTAAAAGGCCGTACAGCTCTTTCAGTGCTATCAATGAAAAGATGGTAGCAGGGATAGAGCCAGTAAGCTGGATGTTGTCAAGATGCCTGTGATTGTGCAGTGCGAACAACAAGGAATGGAAGAATATATCAAAATGGTAGAGACACAGGGAGTGTTATTGTTGTCTTTACAGCAGGCAATCACAGGATGGAAGCACATCCCTCTTCTCTCATTGATTCTCACAAGTATTGCAGCTGACTGAATGCTGTGAAGCTGGCCGGGATGATGCTGTCTGAAAACTGGCTGTATGAAAGATCGCAGGGAAATGTGGAAAATGATTTAGATTGATATTGAGGCTGATTAGATGGATCGCATTACTAAGTGATGTATATTAGAGACAGCAAAAGTGGAATAACTTGAACAAATAGGTTGAGGTTTATTCTCAATAGAGTGACCAATGAGACTTCAGGAGATTGCACAAACTCTATGACATGAGCGTCCGGATATTTCAAAACAGAGAAACAATTCACATCAGTCAGCAATGTTCAACAGATTCAATAGCAGATGGGATCAAGCCAGTGAGCTGATGGTGGCTACGAGATTTGTAGTGGTGAACATGATGGATACAATAAAAGAAATGAGATTTTATAGATATAGGAGAAGACCCGAGGCTTGCAGATACGTGCAAGCAATTGTTGTTTCTAGTTCACACCGTAATGTAGAGCAGAAAGCGCAGGATGGAAGGACGTGGCATGTGTGCAGTGCATCGGATAGCATGTAAGGTATAGAAAGGAGTAGCATGAGCATAGATTCTAGAGTTTGTTAGCCTAATTATAGTATGAGCGCAGGTTTGAACTGGTGTAGCATGCTCTTTGAATGAAGCATGCAAGGGTACCATGGTGGCACTTAGAGTGTGACCAAACGTGTCAAGCTACTAAGGGATGGAGGGATGGGCCCAAAGAGCTGGTTGCGGGACATGTCCCTGGAGACAAGGGGGGAATGGGGGATGGATGGATGAATGGGTAAGAATGATGGATTGACCCGGTAACAAGGTGGTCGAGTGATGGTGGATAATTCAGTTGATGAGTTTACTTGGTGATGTGATGGTGATGGTGAATCATTAACCGGATAGGGTTGAGTCATGGATAGATAGTGAATGGAATCATGGATGCTAAATGGGGGATGGATGAATGAACGGAATCATGGTTGAATGGTGGGGTGACCCATTGATAAGTTCACTAGGTGGTGGTGATGGTGATGGTTTATTCATAATTGGATAAAACAACTGATCATGAGATTGATAGAGTGATGGGGTCAAGAAAAAAGTTGCAGGATAAAGGCCCTTGGCTGCAGGAGAAAGAGAGAAAACCAGAACCTTACTCAAAGATAAGCATCCAAATTTGTGAATCCACATTTCCTTTATTTTAGTTAATTCCATCAAAACATTACATTAGCCATTCATGTGTTTTTCTACTGCATCTATGATCAAGGCACACGCTAAATTAAAGTAAACACTAGTCACTAGTGAACCAACCATGGCATACGCTAGGCCTTATAGGGTTCTTAGGTTAGTAAGAGAGTTGATAGCTGAGGGGATCAAGCCATTGAGCTGATTGTTGCTAAGAGACCTGTATTGTTGAGAAGACATGAATGGCCAGTGCAGAAAATTCATGTCAGAATGTTATATTTGTCTAGCCTGCAGTGGGGTACTCAATAGTGAGTACAGCCCAATTTAGGGTTTGCTATATGTACTCAACTGCTTGCTAGTGAAACCACTTCCTTTATTTCATTCATTCCGTTCACATTCTAACATGCTATCAGAGCAGGTCGACCCTCCCGGGTCGATCCTGTGGATGGGCCCACCCAATGCTTCCGTTGTTGACCTGTCTGTCGCGCGCCCCCTGGTGCGCGA